CCCCGCCTAGCGAACAGACAACGGTGATCGACTACTTCAGTTCTACGCAGATCACCGGTTGTTCCTATCTAGCACCAAATTTCGATACAGCTCTCATCGAACGGCCACATGGTGTTCTAGTTCGACGGACCCAAATTGCCCACATAGCTGTAAGCTACCGTTGACGTGTTTCAGTACAAAATTGCAGATCTTATTGGTCCACCTGCGTTGAGTCGGATCATGCACTAGGTTTGCTACGCTTCGCTCTTCGAATCATTGGTCATCGGCAGAAATCGCCTCCTCAGTTAGCTCACCATCGTCTTCGCGATCCAACTGTCTGCGCACGTTGTGAGGATATGATGGGACAGGAGCTAGGAGAACCGCGACATAGTGCAGTAGACCAGCAGTCGGATTAGATTANTTAGATTAGATCTGCGATGCACTCGGCTGCAAACTTTGCTTGTGGGATTGAGCCCGAAGTTCCCCGAGGGCATTGGATTTCTCAGGAGTAAGTAATCCTAATGAATCAAAAGCGAAAGATCCCAGTCTGCCAAGATCAGCATAAGGACTGGCGTCGTCTGCAACGTCAATTCAGAAAAAGCCTTAAGAAAGATTGAAAATTGGTGGGCCGAAATAGGTAGTGAAATGGAGGTAGCTTCTGCATCAGGGAATAGTCAAAGACTATCTCATCAGATACGCAGCACCGGAGGTCGTCGCATACCGGCCAGTGAGACCACTTGCGATCAAAGTGCGCAAAGCATTCACACAAAAGAACAACGACTTGATCGCTGGGCAGAGTATTTTAGTGAACAGTTTAATTGGTTTATTGCTAATGCGATCATCGCAGCAATTGCGGCGGAAACATGCGAACCCCCATCAGAATTGGAAGTATGAAGCTGCATTCAATCATTAAAGAATGGGAAGGCTGCGGGACTTGATGGGCTTCTCCCTATTCTTTTCAAGGTGGGCGGTGATTCTCTTGTCGACTCAATTACTAGCTTACTTCGCAGCATTTCGACGGAGGAGCGTATCCCTTTGTCCTGGAGTGAATCGTTGGTCGTCCCTATCTTCAAGAAGGGATCACGCAACGACTGAACAAACCACCGCGGGATTAGTTTAGTTCCGATAATCACAAAAGTGGTGACTTCGATGATAGTTCGCCGGC